CTGATGTAAATTGAGCGTCTTAGAGCATAACATACACTTATAGCTATGTTTAATAATGTTATTTTTACTTTAATGTATATGTTAATGATTTTATTTCTCCCAATACCTTTAGGCTGGTGCATGGCCTCTGACTCAGGCTCCTTCTTCTACATTTGCAATTCCTCAGGAACTGGAAAAAAGTGTACAGATGGTAGGTTAGTAGGAGGCTTCTTATAAACGTGCAAAATGTAAAATAACTACGAATACAAAATCAACACTCTAACAGAGAAAAACCTGAGCTGCTTCATTTTGTTTGTAAATTATGACCATCCTATTTCCAGTTCGTGTAACATTTGGAAGGGTCACACAAATTACATACTAAATTTATGTATGTATTTATATAGCTTCTCTTTACTTTTTGCATCTCTTCTACACTTTGTGGTTGATGAGGGAGGTACAAATACATACAATGAAATGAACTGGCTTGATTCTTAGCTTCAAAACCAACTCCTAATATTTAGATAAAAGGTGATTTTTTTCCTTATATTAAACCTGAACAGATCCAATAGCAGATTAAAGTGCAAATACACTTTTCTAATTCCCTGTTTCACAGGAGCCATTCAAAATCAAGCTTTGTACAAATTTCTTTAAAGCTTATGTTATGAATTCTCTAAGCAGTAAAGGTTTTACTTTGGACAAATACTCTTTTTATGCAATTATTCTACTTTGTAGAGCTAGAATATTTTACTACTTTTGATTCTATTATTGCGTTGTAAGTTTTACCTGTACAACATTTGTGTTAAAATACAGAAGATGTGTGTTGGTCATTGCTAAAGTATATTTAATGTTTGAGTACATTTTGGGCAATAAAAATTTCATATTTTTGCACATAACAGATCTTTTAAGTAGCTCTTGTAGCTTAAATTGTTATCTGATGTAAATTATAATGGCAAATATCTATTTCTGCGGTGAGGGAGCTTTTTCATGTATTACTGCTAAGTATTATAACTGTTTATTCTGCTTTTATTTCCACTGTATTAAGTGGCACTTGGTTTTAGCAATATGATATTTTCCAGCCCATACTTAGAGACCCACGGAAAGTGATTGATGACATTTTGCTGTTATGTTTGGGCTTAAAATAGGAGTATTGACAGCTGTGCTTCAACTGGAAAATTGTTATAGACACACGTATCAGAAGAAGCTCAGAGTCTGGGTTGTTTGCCTAACTTCCCAGTTTTTTGCAGTTTAAAGCAGCAAAATCATTCACGTCATCTAATTAGAATTAATGCTCTAAAATGTAATTCTCTGAGGAAATAGAATGTGACACTAGGGAATCTGAAAAACTGACAATGTCTGCTTTTGCTGTCAAATTTGATCATTTGACCCATGAAGGAAGAGACCTCTCTTCAGGATTTTGACTAGGATTTAGAAAGAAAAAAAGCATTGCAGTTGCATTCCAAAGTATGGGAGTACCTCTGTAACTGGACAAACAGTTCAGCAGCTTTTTCAGGCTCCAAGAATGCTGGAGCTTCCTATTAATATATATTTGTTTGAATGGTGTGCAAATACTGCTTTTCATACTGTGTAAGCTTGTGGATGGAGAAACACCTGATTCTTAAAGAGGACAAAAGTCCACGCTTTTTCTATCTTCCTTCAGTTTTAATCAGAATTGCCAGACCAAATCAGAGTAAGCCAAACTGATGTGTACACAGGGTTGGCTACATGAGTTTCTGGAGGTTTGATCCCATTTTAAGGACACATTCTTTGAATCTGCTGAAATTTTTCTCATTACCAAAAAGCAGTTACACTCTAGGATTAGTCTGCAAGTAACACTTTCTTGTTTCTTTCAGATAGGCAGTATGAGAGTAGAATTTCTGAATTTAAAAAAAATAAATCTTAAATACTAAAACTAAAGATTATCAGGCACATGCCAATAAACGCAGTCTGATTTGTTCCACTTGGCTGTAGGGCTAGCACATAGGATTAAGTTTATATTTATATTTTAATTTTTCTTTGGATTTTCTGCCAAATTTGAGTTATTTTCAAAGGACATCCAAAAGAATGCTGTAGCTACCAAAATGCTACTAAAAATCCACATTTTCATATTTTTTCTTACAAGCAAAATTATCAGATTCTTATATTACATATGTCAAAATAAAATCTCCATTTTTACAAACCTTGCCATAAACTTCCCCTTTAGCATTTGGAGAAATTCTTCTTTCCTGCCAGAGTAACTTTTCTGCATCAGTTTAGTCTACAATAACTAAGCTGAAAGCCATGTCCTCAAAAGGTTTTTTAAGCATGCTGGAAAATCTTTAATTGTTGTTCAAAATCAAGTGCTTTCTTTCCTTTCCTAAGGCTCTTTCTTATTCGCTGTCCATTGCTTGCTAGTTTCCAGGAGTGGCAGGATTAATGGATTATATATAATATGAGATGGTTTTGCTGCTTCTCTGTAAATTCAGATTTTTCTTAGTGCAGCCCACAGGTCATTTATGCCCTTCTGTCTCTTATTCTTTGCTGGTGAAAATGACATTGAAATGTATGTAAATAGGACTTGGAAAGAATCTTCCAGGAATTACAATCCTAGAGTCTTTTGGGATGTGGTCTTTACAATAGCCAGACTTGTGCACTTCAGTGCCAAATTTCAAACTGCATAGCTAATTTGCATTTGCACAACCCCAAAAACTTTCTTAAAGAAGAGAGGATTTTTAAGTTGTTTTTTAAGGCCTTATCTTGTTTAGGGGTAGTTTTCATATTCCTGTTCTGCTGTATATTTGTGTAATTTGTGTAATTTAAATATCAGGAAAAAACGCTTTCAAGAGTGATCGATTTAGCACTTCTCATAATGACAAGGAATTAATTGAAAATTTTAAAAAAGGAATTTCAATTAATATTAGTGCTAAATTTGCTTATAGGATTTTTAAAATACTGTTTTTGAATGGATGCTTCAATTTTAGGGTGCCAGAACAACTTTGAAATGTTACTTCCTAAATCATAAACATGTGAAAACAGGTTGTTGTAGAAGGTTCTGTAGTCACTTCTTGATTCTGAGATGTTTGCAAACTGCGTAGTTGTGTCTTACCTGAAATCCAAACTGGAAGGTGGCAAACACTGTGCTCAGTTTGAAGCTTGCTGCTTTGGAATTTCCCCTAAAAATATGTTCAGGAATGTAAGATGAGATTTGTCATGAAGTGGCTGTGTGAAGTACCTGTTAACTAAAAGTTCATGTTTACTTGAAAGATGTTGTTTAAAAAAAAAAAAAATGAGTAATATGGATTTTCTGAATTGATCTTAAATAGTTTGTCAAGGCCATGGAATATAGAATGATTTTGCCAAGGTGAAAAAATAAAAATATACTTGTATTTCTGTGGAATTGGAAAGAACAGAAAAATAAAACTTAACAAGATTAGAAATTCTTTGGAATTTAGAACAGTTGGTCTTTCTTTGGAACACTACAGTATTTTATGCTTTGAGAGTATGAATGTGTCAACAATCTTTTTGATTTAGTCATCAAGTGATATGTTAATCTGTTCAAGTAGTCCATGAAATGACTGATGTTCAGTCATCACCAATCCTGTAAAGGGAAATGCTGTCATGAATTGATGCAATGTTTGCATCCAATTTGATGAACATAAAACCAGTATTTCTTCACTGGGATGGCAGTGTGATGACAAGGTATTGTCAGTATTTATATGAGTGACTAATTGAAGTTCATTTTGTTTTGCAGTTTGAATTATTTTACAGTCAGCATTTTAGTGGAAGGAAGCTTACTTGGTTACATTATCTTTGTACAGGTAAAGACAACTGCTTTGCTAAACTTATGCCCTATACAACTGGAAATTATATGTTAAAAATTGGTTGGCATTTATAAAGGGCTTTTGAGTTGGAACATGGTTACATATAAAGTCTTATTTTGCATTAAAAAGCAATTTGATATTTGCTGCTTAGTATTTCCAAAGTTTGTTTGATAAACTCGCATATGTTATCTGTGATTTGTTAAACCCGAGTAAAACTAGATTGTACTTTCTGAAGTACAGAATGGCACTGCAGGACTGCTGAAATGATAACAATTGCCCTGGAATTGTTTCTGTAGTTTCTTAGCTGAATAATGAATAATTTAAAGAATTAATATTATACTGTTTTACTCAGATATCTAAGTATTTAAGTAAATACGTATATGTATTTACTGATGTTTGTATTTACTATGTAGAAATATGTTAAAAATTATCTTAAAAGAGATTTGTAATTGTAGTTTAGTGTGGTATATCAGCATATAGTTTTTTGTTTTAAGTGCTTTCAGTGTCAGGCTTTTAACAACTGAGCACCACAAGACACTACATGGAGATGAAAACCAGACTAGCATACAACAATATAATGTAAAGAAATTTTACTTCTGATAGTAGAAAATTGCCATTAACTTGCACTCACATTCACACAGAAAATGTGAATCTGCTTTCAGGCAGGTTTCTTCAGTCCTTTTCTTTTCCTGCTTTTTTTTTTTTTTTTTTTTTTTAAATAAAATCAGAGGAATTTAAAGAATATAAGAATATTGTAAAATATTTTTAATGGACAAGTCTTGTATTTTGTCTTTAAACCTTTCTTTGGAACAACTTTCCTGTAATCGCCATTCTGTGTAAGCTAATAATAAGTTTATGCATGGCAATGCACTGAAGCTATTTGGAATTGCCTTTTTTATGACTCTAAATAAAATTGTATAGTTCAAATTTAACACTGTAGGTTTTCTTTTTTGTTGAAAACACTGTTGTTCTAGTGTTCATAGTTAATCAAAGGGGGGGGGTTGTGGCAAACCACATTCTTTATATATATATTGAAAAGATCAGTTTTCATCTTCCCATTCCAATTGTTAAATGAATACTTAAGTGTGAACTCAATGTCTGGAAATGTACAAGGAGCTCTAAGAGTTAGGTTTCAGATGACTTTTCAGCACATTCCATCAGTTCATAAAATACTACTTGTATCATTACAGGTGAAGTAAAAATGAATTATTTGTGCAAACCTTATGTGGCCATGGTCACAACATACCAAATGGCAGTGTTGCTTGCCTTCAACAACAGTGAAACCGTTAGCTACAAGGAGCTTCAGGACAGTACACAAATGAATGAGAAGGAACTGACAAAAACCATCAAATCCTTACTTGATGTCAAAATGATCAACCATGACTCAGACAAGGTATGCAGTAGTGATATTTGTTTTGTGTTTTCAGTCTTGTGATTTAATATGTATGGAGGCTTTTTTAAATATAAAAAAATTCAACTGTTTGCTTTTTTTCTAAACTATTATTGACCCTTGTGAACAATTACAAATCCATATTTTTAAGGAAAGAGAGAGGAAGAAGTAGACTGTGTGTCATACAGGCTGTCTATGCCTATAACAGCATGGTATGCTGAAAAGGTAATAATAATAATAGTAATTGCATCTGTTGCATTTCATCTGTATGGCTTTAGACTCACTGCACTTGGAGGGGAATGCTCTTTAAAGGAACACTTTCAAAATAGTTCTGAATCACGGGAAGGAGCAAGTCTTACAAAGATCCTGTAAAAAAATAAATGGTGGGATTAAATGATTGAGAGTAACAGCAACCATGTTCTTCCTTGTTGATAGATTGCAGGAGGAAAGAGTCCAAGGAGGGCTTGTGTGAGAAAATTTTTGTTGCAGATTGCCAAACTTTGTCATTCCATGAGTTTAATGGAATTCCAGTAACATCTGAGCTTTGTTTGTGGTTCAGAAAGTAGTTGATACAGGTTATGATGCTGCCTCTACTTCTGCACAAACTATGTGGAACAAGTTACCTCTTTTCCCATCCAGTGAGAGGCACGTGTGTCTGTTACATGTGAAACACTACAGGAGTGCCTGTGCACTCCATACAGACTCTCAACATGTGCTTCCAGCCATCCCAGGAAGCCCGTTATTCAGGCAGAAGAAACTGAGATAAACTGTTCAGTTCACTTAAGAGAAGAAATCCAAAGCTACTCTAGTAGCTGCTTTTTTTAAAACCGGGGAAGCATTAGAAAATGGAAAGTGAGATCACAAGGAACGTCTGATGTTTGTCTGGAGCATAGGACATGCTTCCAATACTTACAAGTGAGTTCAGGTTGGAACAATGTCTGGGAAAGATGTCTGTTCAGCCATGGGTGAAATATAACACTGGGAGCTATAAGAGAAAACAGTGAGATTTTTCATAATCTGAGGACAATGCTCATTATTTAAAGGATGTACATTTATTATCTTGTATAAAGTTTGCCTGGTTTCTTTAAGCATATGTCATTGAGGAGTGAATGATACAGCTTTCCAACCCTTTTACCTTTGAATGTTTAGCACAGTATTCTCTGAGAGAAGCTTTAAACTAGATGTGATGGGGGAA